TCCCTCCTTGGGCCTGAGAGGAACCTGCCCCACGTGTAGCTCAGAGGGCCTCGGAGCCAGGAGCCAGATGCCAGATTGGGGCCAGGTGTGTGTGCATGTTAGGATTCGGGGACTGTGCTGACCCAGGAAGTGCCCGGGCGCAGGCCTGCGGGGGACAGAGGAGGAAGCGAAGGGCAGCGCATCAAAAAGGCAGAAGCCCAGAGGGCAGCAGTGGTCCCCGCTCGCGTTCACTAATTGCACTTTCACAGCAGTGGCGAGGGCCAGGGAGGCCCATGTTCACACAAAGCAGGACGGCCTGGGCCGCGGCAGCCGCGCTCTGCCGGCTCCCTGGGCTGGCTGGCTGCCGCTCTTTCCTCCCTCCTCCCCCCATTTTTTTTCATCTGTGACATCTGCTCAGTGCTTGTCCCCCGTGTGATCCCTCACCCCTCGCAGCTGTGCAGACCCCTGGCTCCACGCTGGTGCCTGGCGTGCCCTGAGCATACGGCCTTTTTGATGTGTGATAAAACAGAACCAAGCCACGGGGGTACGGCGAGCGGAGGCATCAGAATATCAATTAACCTGCTCGGAAGAAAGCCTCAGCCCCCGAGTGGGAGAGGCATCTCACTGAAGTGTCAGGGAGGCGGATAATGTATTCTAATTAGCGAGTGACGGATGCCCCCACGTCCAGCCACTCCCAGACTCCGGACTCTCCAACCCGTGCCCCACAGGGCGGCACTGTGTGTCCCAGTGTCCCCAGCAGCGGCCACATGCTGTTGGCTGATCACCTGCACCTCGGGGATTTGTAGCCGCCGAAGTGTTCTCGGCCGACATTGCCGCACCCAAAAAAGGGCTGTCCATTTTGCAACAGGACAAAACACCCCCGTCGGCACGAGGGCTGTGGAACCAAGATCCACCTTGCGGATGCCCTGGGACCCCGCAGAGGTCTTGTTCCATACGTTGACCCTTCCAGGTGGATCAGCCAGGACCTGTGCAGGGCTGGTGTCGGCACGGCTGCCTTGCTGCGGAGCGTGGAACTTTGCCAGTGGTTCGTGGGGGAACCTTGTTTCTTGGGTTTGGAGAGGGGAGGCGTTGTGCTACCCCTTCCCCAAGTGACAAAGAGCATGGTCAGAGTAGGTGGACTGGGGTTCATTCCAGGGCACCCAGCCTCTCCTCTCTCAAAATCTCACACCCGCGCCAGAACCACACACGCACGAGGCCAGGCCAATTAGCAGGAATGTTCCTCATTTTGCTGCACTTTTCCGGCGTAATTGGAAGTCCTGCTTTCTCCAGCAAGAAGTCAGTGCAACTTGTTCCCCTGAATAGTTCTAAAAGCGTCGGCCCACATGCTGCTATCAGCTGCAGATTCATGGGCGAGATGATAATGACTGCTCCATGATGCAATATTAAAACCAAAGGTCTCCTCTCAGAGCTGAGCCAAGTCGGCGCTGCAGCCTTCTCCCGGCTTCAAAAGGGAACTCGGCACAGAATCACCCGTCCACAGACCCGGGGAGGCAGTCCGTGGGCTCCCGCTCACTCATTCCTCCAAATCAGCAAAAAGAAAAAAAGGAGGGGGCAGTGATTTAGCCAAAGGTCAGCAGCTGTTGGTGGGATCTCCGGAGCTGTGAGTGGGGTGTGCTCCCACACCCCATGTACCACCTTCCGGGTGCTAAACAGCACTGGGCTGCCTGTGTCAAGGGCTGGAGGGAGCCAAAGGCTGTTGGCGGTTTCCGTGTCTGCTTCATTAGCTGTAGAGACCAGCGGTTCCACGGCTGGCTTTCCCGTATAATTTAATAAATTAATGAAAGCCTGCCTGATTTTTTTCCCCAACGTCCTTTATGCTGTAAATTTGTTTAGCCTGTTTTTTGTTTTTATTTTTTCTTTGACTGTTGGTGGAAGCTGTAGGGACCTAAATATTTTAATACTGAAGAAATGTGGGCTTTTTGTTAGGCTCTGTTTTTAAAGAAATGTGTTGTCCTCATGCCCTGAGCGCCCATGGGTTCTATCCACCAGGGTGGGTCTGGGGGGTGAGTGACCCCGAGTCTCAGTTCACATGTCTGGGTCCACGCATTGACCCCGGACACTCTGGGTTCTCGTGACGACTGAGTGGGAAGGCTCTGCAGGAGGGGAAGGTCCTCGGGGAGCCAGCGCTGGAAGCCTGAGAGGCAGCCTGACCCGGCTGTGCCAGAAGCCTGACTTTGTGCCTGGCTTCCACGTCTGGCTTCACAGAGTGACTGAATCATGCCTAAAGCATTAAACTGTGTGTGTGCGCGTGCGTGTGTGTCTTAACTGTACTCATGAGGCTTGACCTTAGAAATTGCATGATGCACACACTGCCAAGGGGCACAACAAGCAATCGAGGCGGAAGGGAAGGCGAGGTCATGAACTTGCTGCTCTAACAATGTCAGGTCACTTTGATGAATCGGCATGTTCCAAAATTCATGGAGAATTTCGATTGTGGAGCTTGACAGAATAACTTTTTCTTGCCAGGTAGGATGAGCTTTGAGAAGAGGAGGAGTGTGTGTATCCTGTTGGGTCTAACAAGAAACCATCAGCAATCCTAGTCTAAATAGTTAAAAATAATTCAGCGACTTGTGAAAGGATGAGCCGCAGGCGACATCGCGCCAACATTTACGCTGTGACGTAGAAGAGGGAAGGGAGGGCTGGGTTGTTTTGAAAATAGGGTTGGGACGACTGGTAAGCAATCAAGAGACGGACAAGCCGGTAGCCCCCCCGCGCAGTCACACACGCACACACTCTGTTCACACAATGGGATATGCTCTTTCTACTATGTAAGTGTAAAAAGTGAAGCTGGACTGACTGGGAGGGTGGCTCAGCACACTAAGTGGCTGCTTTGCCTATATGCCGTGTCGGAGGTACCTGGTTCAAGTCCCAGCTACTGTGCACTTGTCCTCCAGCCTCCTGCTGATGCCCCATGACAGCCCAAGGCCATGAGTCCCCTCTACTCACGCAGAAGCTTCCGGCTTTGGACCAGCCAAGCCCTGGCCATTGCACGCATCTGGGGAGTGAGCCAGCAGATGGAAGATTCCCTCTCCTTCTCTCCCATTCTTCTTTCAAATAAATATCTTTATTTTTTAAATGTGAGATGACACAATTTATAACCAAAATCCAAAGAATCCCAAGAGGAAAGCAGTCATGGAATTGACCCCCTCCCAGTCTGCTATGGTAAAAGCAGAAATGAAAAGGCCACACACAAATGCCAGAGAATGCTAGCATGTTGTTAATATGTAAAGAGTGCCTGTAGGTGAAAGGGTGGGGTCCCAGGGGGAACGTGGCTAGACGGCGTGAGCAGGCCTCTGATGACGGCACATTGACACGGCCTGCAGAGACGGAACGGGCTGGACCTCACCAGTCACAACGCTCAATTACAGGAGGCCTGGGCAGAGAATTTCCCAAGTACATGCCCTGCGTGCTCAGAGACCAAGGGAGCGCTGGGCTGTGGGATTCGTAAACTGGCCAGGCAGTTCTGAGAGTGCTGGCACAAAATGTTATCCAAAAACCCAAAAGAAGGTATCAGCTCTTAAAAGTCCGTCTTGGGGGTATCCGACATGCATCAAAATGAATGTTGAGTTTTTTCCTGTACCACTTGGGGGAAGCTGGAGTCAGACCTGCATGAGCAACGAAGCAGGGTGAGTGGCATTCTCACAGCTGGCTTCGTGCGATGCTGGGCAGCATGGAGCCTCCCGGAGAGGAGCGTCCTGCAGCCCAGGGACGTGCTCCTGGGTCACAGATCACAGACGGTGATGGGTGGTGCATCTCCTGCCCCCCGGCCCTTGCGAGACACTCTGCCCGGGCCTCCTGTCTGACAAGGGACACATCAGGGTCTGGCTGTCATCTTTGCTTTTTTTTGGGGGGGTGTAATTTCCATGCAGTGTGCAGTGACCCCCTGTTACTGTCACTTTGGATTTAGAGTCCATGGCATGTTGGGTGTCTGCAGCAGTTTTGTCCGTGTCCCACTGGAGCGCGGCTCTGCTCCCAGTCCCCGCTTCCTGCTGGCACACGCCTGTAAGGCAGCAGGTGGTGGCTGCAGTGCGCGGTCCCTGCGCGGCTCCCGGCTTCCGTTTGGCCCAGCCCTGCTCTTATGGACACCTGGGGAGCGGACCAGCAGATCTGTCTTCATCTCTACCTTTCAAATAAAGTCAGTTTTTTAAATACTGAAAGCTACTCCAAGTACACCTTCCAAGCCAGTGTTCTGGCTGTGCCGAGGGGCTTCAGCCTTGCCGTGGAGTAGTGCCACAGCGGAAGCCCTAGCCCAGGGCTGATGTTCCTTAGTGTTTGGATCCCAATGATTCCAAGCAGCAGGAATCCCAGATCTTAGAAACTGTGTTTAGGACATAACCCGACACGTGGAAAGAGCCAATGCGTGATTTATGGCAGTGGAAATTTGTAGTAGTCGTGGCACGTGGCTAAGTGGCACGTGGATGCGTTCGGATGTTACCCAGGCACAGACGTAGGAAAAGACGTCCGACAAGTCTGATGTTTGATGGGAGAAATCCAGATGTAAGATGTGTATGTTATGATGTCACCGGAAGCATGGGATGTGGGAGGGGCTAATCAACCTGACAGGAGTTCCTCTTAAAGGTTTCAGTCTTTTTTTTTTTTGCAATTGTGTGTGTTTTTTTAAAAGATTTATTTATTTTTTTGGAAAGGCAGATATACAGAGAGGAGGAGAGACAGAAAGGAAGATCTTCTGTCCGATGGTTCACTCCCCCAGTGACCACAATGGCCAGAGCTGAGCCAACCCAAAAGCCAGGAGCTCTTCTGGGTCTCCCACATGGGTCCCAAGGATTTGGGTCGTCCTCGACTGCTTTCCTGGGCCACAAGCAGGGAGCTGGATGGGAAGTGGAGCTGCCGGGATTAGAACTGGTGACCATATGGGATCCTAGTGTGTGCAACGTGAGAACTTTAACCGCTGTACTATTGCACTGGGCCCAACTGTTGTGTTTTTTTAAGGATGAATTTTAGTAACCCTAACCTTGAGCACCTCTCCTCTGCTCTGCCAGGGCTGGGTGCTGGACGGCATTCCGGAGTCACGCGAGCAGGCTCTGATGATCCAGACACTGGGCATTGCTCCCCGACATGTCAGTGAGTAGCTCCCAGGGTCGGAGGGTGGGGGTTCCCACCACAACTGCAGCCCCAGGTCGGTGAGGGGGGTGGCACTTCTGCAGGCCCACCCTCAGTCCAGGCACCCTCCAAGATGACAAGCGCCACTGTATTCCTCATAAAGCTGAATATGGAGTTTTGATTTTGCCCTGGTGGTTCCTTGTGCCAAGCCCCTCCCTCATATTGGTGACACTCCCTCCGGAAATCATGCGACTCATTGTCGGAAGCGTGCGTGTACAAGGCTGGTCTCCCTGGTGCTATTTCAAGTGGTGAGGGCCACTGGCTGTGGGGATGCTCGTGCTCGGGCCTTGCACACCCTGGGATTGGCTTTGGTCCAGGGATGACCCTGTTTCTGGGGATTCACGGAGAGAAGCTGGGCACTTGTGGCGTCGTCCAACAGCCCAGCCTCCCTGGCCTTGCTCCTTTTTTGCCCAGTCGTGCTGAATGCTCCAGACATGGTCCTGATCGAGAGAAACCTGGGGAAGAGAATCGACCCTCAAACTGGAGGTACGGCTGTCCTCTGACCCCCTGCTGTTCACAGAGCACCTGCAGGATATGGGCCAGGCTGGCGACTTTCAGCTGCCACCACCAGGGGCTGAGCTGAAAACTGCTGGCCAGTGATATGTTCCAGTAGATGGCAAAACGGGATCCTGTGGGGGGTGAGTGCAGGGCCATATGGGGTCGGGCTGTCACTCCTGGGTGCTGAGTCTGTCTCCCGGTGCAGCACCATGCGCAGGAACCCAGGATGTGTCTCCAACTCCTTGGGAGAAAGTGTGCGCACTGCACACTCTTGTTCTCGGGCACAGAGGAACAAAGCAGGAGCTTTGTCTGGAAGGGTGAGTCAGCAGGTGCTGCCAGGGGCTGGGGCGAGGCAGGGCAGGGAGCAGCCCCTCCAGTGAGGCCTGGAGGACTAGGCATTTCAGCAGGGAGAGCCCCGACCTCCTGGACTCTGACCCGGGGGGGCTTGTGTATTCCTAGCTCGGCCCCTTTTCAGTAGTCGGACTCGATTCTCTCATCTGGAAATGAAAATGTCACGGCCTGACTTGCGGCAGGATTGCTGGGAGGGGGACAGAGCCACACACACGCTGGCCTCAGGCTGGGCCATTACCATCATCACTGTTGCTCCTGTGTGACAGTGGAATTGATGCTGAAGTTCTGCAGGAGTGTGATCCTTGCTACAGCATTACCTTGCTTGTGCTGGGCTGTGACTGGTGTGTTGCTACCACAGCTGTGTGTTACAGTTGCTAGCATGCTAGGCTCCCACTGTAGTATGTTATTGTTACTATAATGTTATTGTTGCTAGATTGAATGGTTGCTACAGTAGTGAACTGTTATTACTACAGGGTGTAATATTGTTACTACAGTAATGTGCCACTGTTACTTTGGTCAGTGATGTGTTACTGCTACAAGTAGCAGTACTAATAAGAGTAGGCCCAGAGCCAGAGCTGCCCTTGACCCTGCTGGGCCTGTCTCGGTCAGCCGGGCCTCTGGGGTCCGCTGGCTTTGGCCCCAGAGCACCCAGCAGGTGCAGGTGGGGTCACCATGGGCTCCCGGGGCCAGCTTCCTCTACCCATGATCCCCTCTCTGTAGAGATTTACCACACCACCTTTGACTGGCCCCCCGAAACGGAGACCCAGGATCGCCTAGTGATCCCAGAGGGCATCTCGGAGGTGGAGACGGCCCAGAAGCTGCTGGACTACCACAGGGGCATCATCAGGATCCTCCCGTCATACCCCAAGATCCTGAAGACCATCAGCGCTGACCAGCCGTGTGTGGACGTCTTCTGCCAGGGTGAGCCCCCAGGACCTCTGGTCACCTCTGCCTCCCCTCTCTAGCAGCTGGCAGCCACTGGGGCCCAACGGTCAAGCCTTGCTCGGCGTCCATGGCCGCTCGGCACAGTGGGTGGAGCTGCCCGAATTGGGGCCTTTCTTCCCCACGTGTTCCTCCTCCTGACGGGGAGGGGCTCCCAGCCGTCCCTGGCCTCCCCGTCCACCCTCCGCATGGGCACCTGCAGCCCACACTGCAGGGTCCAGTCCAGGGTGGCCGCTCATGTTCCAGCGGCTCGGCATCTGGAAAGAGGTTTTTAGCTGTGAGCCCTGCGATCTTAAGATCCACAACATTTGTCTGACGCTGTGATTTGGAATTTATGCATTAATTACTTCCAAATCACTTAATTAAATTTAAAAGTTCATGTGATCGTTCATAAAGAATTCATGCCTGGAATTGTAAATAAAAATGTGAGTATCTGAATATTAATTATTATTAATTAATAATGCAGAGAGATAAATTGAAAATGGGGCTGCAGAATTCTCTCAATATTTTTTTCTTTTTTTTTTCTTTTTTTAAAAAACCAAATCTCCCTGCAGTGCAGCCACCAACTGCAGATTTCTAGAAAGAATAATTGGATGTGGAGGCCGTCTGGGGGATCATTACTTCTAATTAACTTGGTTATTTACTGTGAATTAAGTAGCATGTGTAGCGGGCTGCTCGCTTTCGGGTGCACGGGATCGTGGAAGGGCCAGGGATGGAGACACTTTTCCTTGGCCATTTCTGCTTCCGGGGGGCTCCTCACACTGGGGTGCGCTGGGCTGGGGAGGATCGTGCTGAGAGACACACCTGGAAAACGGGGCAGGTGGACACATGCGTCCCGGATGGCTGGGACAAAGAGAGGCGATGATGCCTGAAGAATGCTTAGCCTGGCGGTCAGCACGCAGTGAGGGTGAGAGCACACAGCAATTGCGACTCACCTGGGCCTTTTGAAAGAAATTTTCCTTTACTTTTATTGGAAGGGCAGAGTTAGAGTAAGGAGGAACAGGCAGATTTTCCACCTGTTAGTTCACCCTCTTAATGGCTCCAATGCCTGCAGCTGAGCTGATCCGAAGCCAGGAGCTTCTTCTGGGTCTCCCACGTGGGTGCAGGAACCCAAATACTTCAGCTGTCCTCCACTGCTTTTCCAGGTCACAAGCAGAGAGCTGGGTGGGAAACGGAGCAGCTGGGACTTGAACCGCTGCCCATATGGGAGACCAACAGCACAAGCAGAGACTTAGCCTACTATGCCACCATTCTTGGTCTTTGAGTTTTCCTAAAGAGCTACTGTAATCGAACCATCCGTCGCACTGGAGAATCCATTGGCGATTGCGGAGTTCGGACAGTTTGCAACTCGACCTATCCCGGAGCTTCTCGTTAGGAACAAGTTAGCTCCTGGGCTGACCTCTGGCCCAGTCTGAAAACAGTTTTGGTTGTCGCAGCCTGAGGACCTGCCATGCCACTGGCAACCAGTGGGATGACCAGGGGTGCTTCTTGACACCCACAAAGGAACCACCTGGACCCAAACATCAGGGCCGCCCCGGTTGAGAAACGTGCCCCATGCCTCTGGACCATTCTAGGAGAGTGTGTCTTCAGCCTCAGGCCTAGGAGAGTCGCCTGGAAGACGGGGCAGGGGCAGGTCGGCAGGAAGCTGGGAGGCCTGGCTCGTGCCTGGCTCAGCAGGGAAGTGGCTGGGTTTGATATTCAGTGGCTTAGCAGCATCCGGTGCCTGCCATGACCCGGGTCCTCTCACACTGGGAGATGCTCACCTGTGTCTCCCACTTCTGCCCATCAAATGCCAAGGAGCCCCTGGTCCCCGACAAGCTGTGGTGACCCATGAGACTCACTGGAGCGTGGTGGCACACACACTCCTCCACCACCAGCTCCCCTGGGGCAGGGGCTGGGGGGGGGGTGCCTCTCGGCTGGAGGCATGTATCAAGGCCACTGCCTGATGCAGGGGTGCACCCAGCAGGACACTGGCATGTACCTCCCCTGGGAGACCAGCCCGATCCCCCACCCTCAGGTTAGGGACTTAGAAACCTCCCACCCCAGCAGTACCTGCTCCCCACCCGGCCCAGCTACACTGCACAGGAGTGCGGCTGCCTGCACGTGGGTCCCAGCGCGCAGGCAGTACCTCCAGGATCTCACTGCTCCTGCTGCCTGCCCACCCTGGTACCCTGGGCCTGACCCCCCAATCCTTGCCCTGCAGCTTCACCCTCAGCCGCTTGGCTTTGCTGTCAGAGACAGAAATAATGACTGCCCTTCAGAAGAGCCCTTGCAGGAGGCGCTGGCCTCTGTTCCTTCAGCGCCCCGGGCTTCTGACCCTCGCATCTTGTCTTTCCAGCTCTGACCTACGTCCAAACCCACCATCGATCCAACGCCCCGTTCACCCCCAGGGTGCTGCTGTGCGGACCCGTGGGCAGCGGGAAGAGCCTGCAGGCCGCCCTCCTGGCCCAGAAGTACGGCCTCGCCAACAGTGAGTGCAGCACACGGCCCTGCCTTCTGCCCTCCCAAGCTCTCTCCCTGCACGAGGCGAGGGGGTGGGGAGAACACCGCTGTGCCGCCTGCTCTTAGTAATGTGCGCTCAGTCCCTCCTCGCAGGGGGGGTGATGTTTTCCTCCTGGAGAAAGTATCAGACACACACACACACACACACACACACACACACACACACACACACACACGCCAATTGCCTCGGCATCCCCTAGCGCTGGGGCGGGTTTCCGTGCGCCCCTGTGTCATCAAGACCCTGGCCTGTGGCCCCTCGGCCCCTAGCGCCCCGCCCCGCTCCTGCAGCCTGAGGAGCCACTGTGGGTTTACCTGGTCTGGTCTGCATGTTGACAGGCAAACACGGTTTCTGAACCAACCGCAGATCGACTTCTCAGTCTGCACGGGTTCCATAAATATTTCACCAGCAGGCGAGGAGATGCTGAAATCAACCTCGCAGGTCCGCCCGGGGGTGGTCCCAGGTGGTCTCGGCTGCTGGCCCGTGTTCAGGAAGATAAAGGCCAGAAGCAGAAGCCGAGCCACAGTGCAGAGGCGCAGGGGGTGACAGACACCGACTCCCTCCCTGCTGGCCGTCCACCTGGGCAGCCTCCGCCAGGGCACCCACAGAACTGAGGCCTGCACCTCGAAGTGAGTGTGCGAACACATAGCATGCTAAGACTCGCTCAGCACACACTACGGGGACACAGGAGGACACCCCCTAAAGCTGGAGGGAAAATGGCATTCAAAACATGAGTTTATTTTGAAACAAAAAAAGGGTTTTGAAATCCACACATTTTTTTTTTTAATAACATGCATTTCCATATGTCATGGTAAAAGCTTTTTGCACCTTATTTTTTTTTTTTCAATAGAACAGGCTTACTCGTATGAGTTTGCCGGGCTAAAGCTGGAAGTGAGGCCTTCATCTGGGGCTCCCGTGTGGGTGGGCTGGGTCTGCCGCTGCCTGCTGGGCTCTGGGTTTGCAAGCAGCTGTGGCCAGCGGCCAGGAGTTGAAACCGCTTCTCTGATACGGACTGTGGTGTCTGTCTCGGCCAGGCTACACACCTGCCCCTCGTAGTGGTCATTCCAGCTTCTGCCAAGCTGCGGAAGTTCAAATGTGAGCTATGGAAAAGCTATGCATGGGTTTCCAAAGCTTTTGCACCAAATAAGCCCATCTTTTAATTTCGTTTCCACAAACAATCAGAAGCCCCTTGGTGTATATGCAAATAGCATGCTCAAGTTGTGAATAAAAATGTTTTTCGCTTAGATCTACTCCAACTGTAGATTCCAGAGTCACTAAGATTGGTCAGGAAACGCACGTAAACATTACACTCACACAGTGAACACAGAGGCACGACAGTGTGGGGGTGGGGAAAGCCCTGTGCACAGTAGGGTGGGAATGCTCTTCCTTGCACGGGTAAAAGTCGAAACATTCAAAAAATTCCTTCTCCTGGGCTCACCGCAATAGCCTAGTGGTTAAAGTCCTCGCCTTGCTTGGGCTGGGATCTCATATGGGCTGGGATCCATGTCCCGGCTGCTCCATTTCCCTCCCAGCTCCCTACTTGGGGCCTGGAGAAACAGTCGTGGATGGCCCAAAGCCTTGGGACCCTGTATCCGCATGGGAGACCCAGAAGAAGCTCCTGGCTTCAGATCAGCTCAGCTCCAGCTGTTGTGGCCAAGTGGGGAGTGAGCCAGTAGAAGGAAGATCTTTGTCTCTGTCTCTCCTTCCCTCTGTAAATCTGACTTTCCAATTAAATAAATAAATCTTTAAAAAATTCCTTCTCCTCTTGATTTTACCTGTTAAGACTGAGACTCAGGTCAGGGCTGACAGCATAGTGGGTTAAACTGCCACATCCACTTCTGATCCAGTTTTTTGCTAAATGTGCCTTGGAAAGCAGCAGAAGACGGCTCGAGTCCTGGGGATGCAGCCACCCACAGGGGAGCCCAGAAAAATCTTGTGGCTTCCACCTGGCCCAGCTCCAGTCCTTGTGGGGTAAACCAGTCCACGGAAGATCTCTGCCTCTGTCTTCTGAATAAATAGATGATATTTTAAAAGAAGAATGAGGCTCAGTTTCCAGCAGTGGGTGCAGACGCCTTCCCTGCTGGTGCCCATTGCAGCCCGTCCTACCAGCAGTGGGTGCAGACGCCTTCCCTGCTGGTGCCCGTTGCAGCCCGTCCTACCAGCAGTGGGTGCAGACGCCTTCCCTGCTGGTGCCCGTTGCAGCCCGTCCTACCAGCAGTGGGTGCAGACGCCTTCCCTGCTGGTGCCCGTTGCAGCCCGTCCTACCAGCAGTGGGTGCAGACGCCTTCCCTGCTGGTGCCCGTTGCAGCCCGTCCTACCAGCAGTGGGTGCAGACGCCTTCCCTGCTGGTGCCCGTTGCAGCCCGTCCTACCAGCAGTGGGTGCAGACGCCTTCCCTGCTGGTGCCCGTTGCAGCCCGTCCTACCAGCAGTGGGTGCAGACGCCTTCCCTGCTGGTGCCCGTTGCAGCCCGTCCTACCAGCAGTGGACCGGGAACCCACAGCAGAGCCTTCACACAGAAACGGCTGCACTGGAGTCCTCCACTGGACTCTGTGTGCTAGGACTGTTTTATTTATTCGAAAGGCTGAGTTAGAGAAAAAGAGAGATCTTCCACTTACTGATTCATTCCTCAAGTGGGTACAGTAACTAGGGCTGCGTAGGTCTGAAACCAGGAGCCAAGAGCATCTCCTGGACCCCCCACATGGGTGCAGGGCCCCGGGCACATGGCTCACGTAGGGAGCTGGACTAGCACTGGCGCCCATGCACAACGCTGGTGGCCCAACCTGCTCTGGGCTGTTTTGCTTTTACAATCACTTTCATTCACGATAGTTTTTGCTTGTTTGTTTTTAAAAATTTAAATGGTTTTCAGGGCACCAATCATGAAGAGAAAAAAAATTACCTGGCCAGAGGCTGGATCTCCCTCCCACCCCTAAATGCAAATAGAAAAATTCAGGGCTGTGTTTACCGTGTAGGGGAGCAGCTGTCTGGGACTTGCAGTGGTGGAGCAGGGAGCCTGACTGGGGACATGTCCACTCCGCTGTGCACACATGCAACTTGGTGTCAAAGTGAACGGTCGGGTGCAGGGGGGCGCTCTGCCCCGCTGTGGCCCCACCTGATGCACAAGGTCCCACCTCCGCGCCCACCTCCTTCGTCCGCATGCGCAGTAGGTGGCCGGAGTCACCGCCTTCTGAGGATTAAAACTCCAGCCACACAGACCCTTGTGCCCTGGCCTCTCTGCTCGGGGTCTGGTGCCTGGCAGCCTTCCCTCAGCAAGCACGGGCAGGAACCGGGGAGGGAGCTGCCGCTGCTTGGACGCATCTGCCACATAAAGCCACTGAACAGAGGAGAGGTGGTTCTAGAGTAAACCAGAAAGCCATCTGACATCCATGATGTCAGGGAGGGATGACCTGGAAGGGCGTTGCCTCGCCTTTGTTTGCTTACAGGTTTATTCATTTGGAAGAGTTACAGAGAGAGAGCGCTTCCATTCACAGATTCACTCTGAATGCCCAAGACATTCAGGGCTGGTCCAGACCAAAGCCAGGAGCCAGTGCCTCCATCCTGGTCTCTCCTTGCATAGTCTTTGGGAAGCATGGAGTGCTGCACCACAGCGTCCAGCTTGCCCTCAGCTTTTTTTTTTTTTTTTAAGATTTATTTATTTTCATTGAAAAGGCAGATATACAGAGAGGAAGATCTTCCGTCCACTGGTTCACTCCCCAAGTAGCTGCAATGGCTGGAGCTGAGCTGATCTGAACCCAGGAACCAGGAACTTCTTCCAGGTCTCCCACACGGGTGCAGGGTCCCAAGGCTTTGGGCCATCCTCGACTGCTTCCCAGGCCACAAGCAGGGAGCTGGATGGGAAGTGGGGCTGCCAGGATTAGAACTGGCACCCATTTGGGATCCCAGTGCACTCAAGGCGAGAACTTTATCCGCTACAATATTGCACCTGCCCTGCTGCCCCCCCCCCCCCGCCCCATTTAAATCTATGTACTATTTGGATGCGTATCACGTCATTTTTAAGTATGCAGAGGTTTTCCCCGATTGTTTCCTTTTTGTTATTGATTTCTAATTCTGTGCTCAGAGGACACGCTCTGTGTGACCCATCCTGGCGGCCTTGGGCAGTGTCTCCGCCTCACTGCGGGCTGTGGCTGCCCTGTGTTTCCTGCACGTGCGTCTCAGTGATTCTGGGTGGTAATTCGCCCATTTTGCCTGCCCCTCCCATTTCCCAGTAGCCGGGGACACACGTCAGATGGCCAGGCCTTGTCCTTTGTTCCCTTTCTCCGCCTCATTTTGGATTCTCTCTTACTGCTTTCAGGTTTGCGATTACAGTCTGATTTTTTCCCCTTTGGGTCTCACACTTTCTGGTTCTGTCTAGCTGGTTCTTTTCTGTCGAGTTTTGCCATCTCCATCATTTAACTATCCTTTCCTTTAAAGTTTTAAACATATTTATAATAATTATTTTCAAGATCTGGTATGATAATTCCACCATCTGGGTCATCTCTTAATCTGTTTCTTTGGAATATTTTCCCTCTTTTCAGGGGTCATTTTTTTAATATATGAAAATTTTTAAAAGATTTATTTATTTTTATTGGAAAGGCAGATATACAGAGAGGAGGAAAGACAGAGAGGAAGATCTTCCGTCCGATGATTCACTCCCCAAGTGGCCGCAACGGCTGGAACTGAGCCAATCCAAAGCCAGGAGCCAGGAGCTTCTTCTGGGTCTCCCACATGGGTGCAGGGTCCCAAGGCTTTGGGCCGTCCTTAACTGCTTTCCCAGGCCACAAGCAGGGAGCTGGATGGGAAGCAGGGCCTCTGGGATTAGAACCGGTGACCATATGGGATCCTGGTGCAAGACAAGGACTTTAACCACTAGGTTATCACGCCAGGCCCTTAATATATAACTTTAAAAGCAAATTTTCAAGATTTATTTGTTTTTATTGGAAAGTCAGATTTGCAGAGAGGAGAAACAGAACTTCCATCCACTGGTTCACTCCCCCAAGTGGCTGCAATTGTCAGAATTTAGCTGATCTGAAGCCAGAAGCCAGGTGCCACCATCCTCACTGCTTGGGGGGCTGTATGGGAAGTGGAGCAGCCGGGATATGAACCAGTGCCTGTATGGGACCCCAGTGTGTTCAAGGCGAGAACTTTAGCCACTAGGCTATGGTGTGGGCCTCACTTTTCTTTTTTTTATTAAGGATTTACTTACTTGAAAGCCTGAGCTACAGAGAGAAAGCGAGACAGAGAGCTGACGGTACACTCCTGGATGGCCGCCGCGATGACCAGGGCTGGGTTACACCAAAACCACGAGCTTCCTCAGGGTCTCTCACGTGGGTGCAGGGGCCCGAGCACTTGGGCCGTCCCCTGCTGCTTTTCCAGGCCATGAGCAGGGAGCAACAGGACTCCAACCAGCACCCAAGGGAAGGGCTGGCATTGTGGGTGGCAGCTCACACACTTGGCCGCAGTTTTGGCCCCTAGGGCTCATACTGGTTTTTTGTTTGTTTGTTTTGTATGTCAAATGCTTTTCCTTTACTGGGCACCATGGTTAGCGTGAGAGTCTGCGTTCTGTAGGTTTTTGGTTTTGTTTTGTTTTTTCTCTGCTTTAAGAACTTTGAGGTATCCGCATTATTTGGTTGCCCATGTCCCATACCTGATGTGCTGCGAGCCAGTCCCACTTCTAAAACAGCTTCCTGCCAGCACGCCTGCGATGGGACGCTGATGGCCCAAGCACATGGGCTCCTGCCGCCCATATAAGAGACCCAGCTGGAGCTTCAGGCTCCTGGTTCAGCCTGGGCTAATTTCAGCTGCTCTGGGCGTTGGGGAGTAAGTCAGGAAATAGAAGCTCTCTCAGCCTCTCTCTCTCTGTGTCGTTCTGCCTTCCAAAATAAATGCAATGTTAAAAGAAATAATTTCGAATTTGGAAGAAGTGGGCTCGCATGGGCAGCACATTTAGCAGAGGCCCAGCTTGCACCTCACTGAGGCCAGTTCTGAGGTTTGAGGGGGCCGGGCTGGAGTGCATTCCCTCTCCCCTCTTGCTGGAGGGAAGCCCCCCAAGTGTGCCCTGAGTGTGGTGCAGGGTACGGGGGCGCGAGGTGTGTGGTGCAAGGTGCATTGTAGGGGTGTGTGGTGCGGGGTACATGGTGCGGGGTGCCGAGTGCGTGGTCATCCTGTGTTCTCAGCTGCAGGTCAGGGATGATGCCAGCATCTTTCACTGGAAGGGAGGGAATTGGGGAGGGGTGGGAGGCCGGGGTCCATCCCCCCACCCGCCTCCCCACTGCTCTGCCAGGCCTGTGGAGTCTCACTCCATGCAACTCAGAGGCTCGGGGGCGGGGGCAGAGGAGGAGCCCCACGCAGGTTCCGAGAGCTCGCTCCCTCCCCTCCTTTCTCAGAGCCTGTGTCTCCTGGTCTCCTAGGCTGTGTTTCCTCCACCTTGGAAGACTGCTCCGCTGGGGCCACCTCCACTCCTGTGGGCTGTGGTTGGAGAGGCGCCCGTGGGCACACATCCCAGGGGAGGTGGGTCTCTCAGCTGGTCCAAGGCTCACAGCTCCGTGCCGTCTGCCCAGTGCCTGCGTCTGCATGTTGTTCTGTTTCGTGGAGTTGCCATGAGGGCGGATCAGCGTGACACCCGCTCCTTTTGCACAGCGGGAATCAGAAGGCAAGCCTGGGCCGGTGTCGCACAGACCCAGCCCCGGCACTCTGGTTCTTCCACCAGCAGCAAGTTACTCCACTGCTTTTGAAGCTCCATTTCCTCATCTAAAAAGCAGTCACTTGTAGTGAGAGCTGCATCGGACACAGTAGATACGGGAAGGTCAACCTCACGAGCCCCACGATGCCGCGCCACATGGGATTAAGTCGCCACTGCTATATGCTTAGACTGTTAGACTCACCCCTGCTGAGGAAGGCGTCTCGGGTCCTGGCCCGGGTCTTATCATCCAGCTCATTTCAGGGTTGCTTTTGAGGGACAGGGGTCTTCGTTATGGGTGGGAACTTTTGAGCCCTGAAAGCAAGGAGACCGAAATCAAACAACTGACACTTGATGAGAATACAGCTTTCACAGTCAAGGGCTTCGGCAGCCTGTACTTATCTACCTGCCCAGCACCCGTCCTCCTGGCCCACGCCAGCCACGGCCCACGCCAGCCACGGCTCGGGGATCCAGGGGCAGGCTGCTGCTCGCTCTGGGCCGGCCTGCAGTGTGCTGCCGCCTCAGGTGCATTTATGCTCTTACAGCCGCCCCTCCCTGCCTCCCCGCCTCCGCAGCGCCTTGCCCCCGGCATGCCATGTGCGTCTTTCAGCTCCCACCCACCCCTGCCCCCGCAATCCAGTGTGGCCGTGAACGCCATCACAGCACCCAATCGGTGCGAGACCTCAACCGGCCCGAGCGGTGGTTCCCGGCAGGGCCCTGCAGCACGGCTTGGCGACAGGTCCCTCCCTCGTTAGTGCCGTGCCCGCCGCTTTCCATTTTTAATATGTTCTCCTCCAAATGCATTCCTTTTCATTCTGCATCCTCCTCCCTTCTTACTTCCCAGCTCCGTTTTGATATTTACTTTTGTGGGATGCGTGTGCTCACACGCACAGAAAACCCTTTCATATTTTTTTCAGTGACCTTTCTTCCCCCCCGCCCCCAGCAGGCAGCAGCCGCGGTCTCTTTCTTCCTCATTCTTCCTCCTATTTAAAATTTAACGTGTTTCTCTCTGTTCCCCTCTCCTTCAGTCTGCTGCGGGCAGCTGCTGAAAGAGGCCGTGGCAGACAAGTCCAAGTTTGGCGAGCTCATCCGGCCTTTCTTTGAAAAGGAGATGGCAGGTAGGCAGTGCCCGCCCCCACTTCGCCAGGAGTCGCCAGGGCACCACAAGCCCCCAGCACTCAGCCTGCTCCCTCCGAACAGGGGGTGGGGGGAGCCCAGCAGGTGTACATGGGGTTGTCCCATGAGCTAGGGGCTCTGGGACCGCTCCTTGGGGATGCCTCTTGACACCGAGGCCTGACACCCCACGAGGGTGGAGAAGGGATGTCCCTGGGGTGTCCCTAGGGCCTCCCATGTCTCTGCTTCTCAGAAGGCCTGCTTTTCCTCCCTCGTGGCCTTGAAGGCAGGAGACACTCTCAAGAACACCCCACCCTTACAGGATGGCTGCTGCACCGCTGCTGGGGGCAGCTGGCCTCCGGTCCTTGGGGGGTCTGGGCACAGGCCAGTGGAATGCGAGCCCAGACGCAGGACGACTTTGCAGTCCACTCCGTGATCTCTGACCTGGAGGCATGGCCCAGGCCTGCCCCCCACCAGGACACTTTGGCATTGCTCTGATGCCACCATAGACCCGCCGCCAAGCAAGCAAGCGACTGACTGTGCGCAGCCAGCCTGGGGCTGCCCGGAGTCCAGATCTCTTCTGCAGGCTGTGTTTTCCGCCTCCCCTCCCCCTCATGGCTGCTTGCCGACAGCACCTCCACGCAGGTGTGTTGATCCATGGACTTGCTCTTTTAGCGGACGCCGCGCTTGCTGGTCAGGACCCCCTCCTGGTACATGCGCTGCCATCTTCCGCCGTCTTTCTAGGCACGGTTGGTTGGTGAGGAAGCTTGGGGCACATACTGCTCGTTCTGGCACTCAGGGAGGTGTCCCAGCTTGGCTTCCTAGAAATCCCAGGGGAGTTCAAGGGAGGCACTGGGGTCCTGTGCAGGTGAGTCAGACAGTGGCTCCTGACCGTCTCCCACTTCTGGAAGCTTCTCAGTGGTGAGACGTGGATAGGAATTCCTGCTGGGCAGGCTAGTGTGTGGGCTCAGGAGGCACACAGGAGCAGTGTGGCAAGCAGCAGCCAGGGCAGTGTGCCTGGTGCCACCCCATATGACCTCCCACTCATGCTGCCACAGTGCCCTTGGCTGGGTCATCACTGGCACCCCATGGAAGGCCCGTGGGGTGAATGGTCAGTGTGAAAGCAGCTGGCCGTGACCCCAGCCATGACCCCGGCCGTGACCCCGGCCCTGACCATGGTTACAGAACTCCCACCGTAATTATTCTGGGGGTTCAGACACAGCACGTGTGACCCAACAGGCCAGGGTCCATCTTGGGGAGCAGCATGCAGATGGTCTGTAAATCCACAAAAAGTCATCATGGCAAAGGTTTCTCACACTTGTTGTCCATCAGTAATGCGGTAACGGGCTGCCCAGGTCATGCTCGGGTCGGCCAGTGTCCCTGATTGCCTTAGGGTCCCTGAGGAGCTGAGGGGACAGGGGGACGTCCAGGCCAGCCACCATGAGCTCCCCCACATTGTCACCAGAGCCCTTGGTTTTCACCTTTTGGTTCCAGAGGCCAGAAGCCCGACAGCAAGGCTGGCCCCGGGGCTTTAGGCCAGCGTCTATTGCTGCTTCCGGGGGACACCCGCCTTCCTCAGCAACGCCCCCTCTCCTAGGCCCATTGTGGAGTCCGTTCGTGGTCCGCGAGGGTCAGGCCCTGCCGTCCACGGTCATCCTCCGACAACCCTTAGCTTCATCCGCGGGGTTGCACAGGCACCCAGGGCCTGGAGGAGGGAGCTTTCGCTGGAGGGGCGGGCCAGATGGAAGTCATGTGCTGCACACCCAAGCCAGTTTCTTAGGTGACAAATATTTTATTTGTTTTTCACTTTTTGTTTTCTTTTTAGATTTATTTATTTTTATTTGAAAGGCAGAGTGACAGAGAGGAGAGGGAGATCTTCCACTCACTGGCTCACTCCCCAAGTAGCAGCAGCAGCCAAAGATGAGCTGATCCTAAACCAGGAGCCAGGAGCTTCCTCGGGGTCTCCCATCGGATTCAGGGGCCTAAGAACTCCTTCCATTCTCTGCTGCTTTCCCAGGCCTTTAGTAGGGAGTTGGATGGGAAGTGGAGCAGCCGGGACTCGAACCGGCACAGGACTGCCCGTGAGATGAGCAGACTTGACCCACACACCCTGGTTCTGTTTTACCGTGATTCCTGGTGAGGTCTCCAGCCGGTGGGATCAGGTGGCCTCTCTCCTGCGAACAGCCTGTCCTACTGATTCATTTTTCAAGCTGCTTTTGTCTTACTTGCCGCGCGAGTGCCTGTGGCAGAGCAGGGCTGGCTCGTTTTTCCCACTGCCTGTCCCTTACGCCTGTGACATGCCATTTGAAACCACGATGCAGTCCGTAGTTGCAGCGGTAGCGGGGCTGCTGTGGTCACCACGTGAGGCTGACAGCTCTGACGCCATGTCCCAGGGCAGGGGCGGCTTCCTCTGTCTCACAGTGAGTCAACCTTGTAGAGTCCCCTGTGCCTTAAAACCCCATCAGCCAGGAGGCCACCTGTGCCTCCTTGACCCTGTCTTTGCGAAGCTCCTTAGCTCCTCGGTGGGAGCAGAACTGCTTAAAGCAGAGCGCTCAGCCTCGGGCCTGGTTCGCTCCACTCACCCACCGTGCCAGTCAGGGAGTCCCTTTGCAGCGGTGACCCCGGGTGCCAGGGGGAGGCCCTGCGAGCTCCCACCCCCGCTGTGCTCCTGTTCCCGTGCCGGCTTCTTGTTTGTTTAGCTCTGTATTCCTGCTCTTCCTATAAAACTAAAGGCACAACAATCAACCTCGTATCTCCTTCACAGAAGCAATAAATCCTGTCATTTCGCTAATCCTGATCGAGGGATAACTAAGAGAGCATTTACATTCATTACCACTGGCAGGGCCCAGAGCCTTCAGCTGGCCTGGCCCACCGAGAGCAGGCACCGGGCCTGGCAGGGCCCAGAGCCTTCAGCTGGCCTGGCCCACCGAGAGCAGGCACCGGGCCTGGCAGGGCCCAGAGCCTTCAGCTGGCCTGGCCCACCGAGAGCAGGCACCGGGCCTGGCAGGGACCCCCTTCGCCACCCCTTCCCCCACTGGGCCAGCACAGGGTTTGAAGTTGGGGACCCCATGCCGGAGTGTCGGTGCCCACCTGCGCCACTCTTGGGATCTGGCCAGTGGTGATACTCTGACTTAGGAGACACCCCAAGTTAATTGGCAGTCTTGGGGTGGGGGTTGCCAGCGTAGCTGGGTTCTGAGGTCACGGCCTGTGGGCAGGCCACTGCCCCGACGCTGGGATTTCTGGTCACAAGGTCCTGGGAGCTCAGTTTCCCCGTGAGGGGGAGGAGGACACTCCTGTGAACACAGGGACTGGTCCCGCGTGGGTCAGGGGCCCTGGCAAGGCTGAGTTGTCGTGGTCACTCCCACCAGCCAGCCAGTGTAGAATGGCCAGGGCGACCAAGCAAGCATGCTCCCCGGGTCACCTGCCTGCCTTCCCACCGCCCCTGGCCGCAGGGTCTCCCCACCCCAGGCCCTCCACCCTGGGCTGCAGGCCTGCCGTTGGTTGCCTGTCCCTGGGGTCTGCCACCACAGGCTGTGCTGTTTCTGCGCTCACCTTGGAACGGTGTTGCCCCAGAGACACGCCGTTCTGTTTCTGCTGAGCAGGCGTCTTTGTCACATCGCAGTCCCTTGCTGCTGCCCCCTAATGCGGATGTCCACTCCTCCCCCCCCCCGAGAGCCACCTTCCCTGCGCCCCGGGCCTCCCCGCGCAGCGTCCCAGCCGTGACCTCTGCCGGCTTCATTTTACTCCTTTTCCTGTCCCTACGGGTGCTGCCAACACCTCCGCCTCTGCAATCAGCAGCAAAATTAATAACTGTGCCCTTCACCCATCGCTGCCCTGCCTTCTGGGCTAAGACCCCAGGGCCCCGACTTCCACCAGCTCGAGTCTCCCTACTCCAGGGCTGGTGGTGGCTGGAGGGCCGGCCAATGGGCTCGGCCCGTGTCCAGGCTGTGGTCCACCCTCAGGGTTGCACCTGAGTCATGCAGCCGAGGGTGCCAGGAAACTCCTGTCACCTTGTGCCTTGCTGCGAGACCAGCGTGGCCAGCTCCTTGCTGCAGGGAGAAGCACTGTGTCAAGTCCGGAGGCCTAGAGCCTAGAGCCTCCCAGGCCTGCCTTGGCCCCCGGAATGGCCCTGCCCCAGCCTGCCCTCAGCACAGTACCCAGGCCTCCTGGCAGGCCGACACCTGATGTGATCAGACACACACCCCAGCCAGAAGGGTGTGCCTGGCATCGCTGCCAAGGCTGAGGTCCAGCGGCTGCTGCTGGCAGGCAGGCCTCGCCAGACTGCTGGGTCTAAGTAGGGGTCGCTCAGGGAGACCTGGCCCCGACCCTGGCGTGGGTAATTGTCTCTGTTAGATGAGGAAGTGCTAGGACGCGTCCTGTCCTTGCCACTTAGTGCCTTTGCTGCGAGTGTGTGAGCTGCCGTTCCCTGCCACAGCAGGCCCACAGGGGGTGGGGTTGTCCATCAGGAGCCTCCCCTTCACCCCAGCCAGGGCATGTCCCTGGCAACCGTTTTTTTTTAGACTCTCACTTTCCCCATCCCCTGGGTGGGTGCAGAAGCAGGAGGGAGGACCTGCCATTGCTACACCTGGGCACCTGCCAGGCAGTAACCAGGGGCTCCCGGGTCACCTGTCCTGTTGATGCCACCCCTGTCACAGGTCAGTCAGGTACAGCTGTGGCACCAGGGCAGCTGAGAACCCGGGCACAGGGCCAGGGGGTGCAGGGAGAGCGGAGGAGAATCTGCTTCCCATTCTGATGGTGGGGACTCACGCTGGTGAACTCCAGCCATCGTAGCACCAACCACCAAGCCAACCACCAACCCAGGGCAGTTAGGAGCTGATTCCAGAGCTGTGGGGGAGTCCAGACCCCATGCTGGGGGTTCGGGGGTGGCGATCGGAGCCCAGGTGAAATGACTCCTTTTTGAGGGGGAATTAATGTTCCCCCACGCTAAATGCACACGAAAGGCTGCACAATAGAGCAGCTTTCCTCCTTTTTGTCAGAAACTCAG